ACTGGCAAACAAATTCAGTCACAGGAAGTGCCTCTATGAATGCCGTCGATGACATATCTACAAACAGAGACAAAATTGCAGCACAAATATTAGCTGAGACATTACAAGGAGATCCATTTATGAGGATATAATCAAGGTAATGCAGAAATCCATCGCACCAATGTTGAGTGATAAGCCCATCTGTGTAGGACGAATGCTTTGGTAGAATCCACGCCAGCTCTCCAAGCCATCCCCCAATGATTGCTTTCTTCCTATATCAGGAGAATAAAACGACCGGCCCACGGGGGTATACCTGATTCTAACATGTTAGCAAAACTAAACCATCTGAGACAAATAGGCATAGTAGTTGAATAGCAAACATCCATAGGATGAGTGACGTACTTAGATGTAGGCAGCTCACGAAGAACGATGTCAAGAACCTGCAGAGCTTCCTGCGGGGCATCAGATTGTTTCCCCTCCAAAAACAACCCTAGATGATGCAAGTCGGCACGTGCAGCTAGCTTGATGACAACCTTGAACTCCCTCTCTCGTCTGTAAAGAGGAAATGCATGAATACTACTGAAATAGACTCAATACGAAAATCAAAAAAGACAAATATAAGAACTGACCTTTGTCCCCCAGGCCCTTCTTCCTCGTCAAGAAGTATGATTCTGAACTCCTTGGAGATAAAGGGAAGCGGACCAGCAGTGTACAGACTTTTTCGGCCATCATACGCGGGAAGTCTCCTTCCAAGGTGAGATTCACGATACAAGTTGACCAACTCTTTCATCACAGCACGATTAACACCCCTTGATGTAACTTCTGGAGTAATGGTAACCTGTAAAACCCAAAAAAAAACAGACATTAGATGTAGTGTAACTTACAAAAAATACTAAGCGAACAAATGAGTCAAAACTTACATCATACTGGTGCAAATCCTTGTCAGGCAACTCAGCAAAGAAGTGGTTAGCCTTCACAATGCATCGCTTGCCGGTTTGTCCTTTACCAGGCCTCATTGGAAACTTGAAAGCTTTGCTAGAGGATGGTAAAGGCTGCATGACCTGACTCGGTGCTCCTTGTTCAATAGAAAGCTGTTCGAACTGCTGAACCGGGACAGGAGGTCCCGGCAGCTGGGTCTGGGTAGGACTCACCTCAGACGGTGCAGGCTGAGAAGACACCGCTTGATAAGTAGGTGAAGTAGCTTGATGCAGCTCGGGAAATGATTGTCTCTGCGGCGGTCCACCAGAGGGTCCGCCTCCGCGGCCACCGCCATACCCTCCTCGACCTCCTCCTCCTTGATGAGGAGGTCCTCCTCTCCCTCTTCCTTGGTACTCTTGTGGTCCACCACCGTACTGTTGTGGAGGTCCTCCTCTTCCTCTTCCTTGGTACTCTTGTGGTCCACCGTACTCTTGTGGAGGTCCTCCATATCCACGGCCACCACCACGACCTCCTTGTTGAGACTGAGGATTGTAACCCCTTCCTCCTTGGTGCTGTCCTCCTCCTCCTCCCTGCTGGAGACCACCACGCTGAGGACCACCACCACGTCCTCCACCACCAGAGGCTGGACCAGCTTCACGGAAACCAGACCCTTCACCTCCTTCAGATAGACCATCAGTTCTCTTCTTCCTCACCATAATTATTACTGAGAAAAATAACAACAAAAACGAAAAATCAGTGAGTCACATAGATGAACACACATTCAAGAAACCTAGCTTAGTGCTAAACCCACACCCAGAAAAGAAGATTTTGAAATGGCAAAAGTACGACACAATCAAATACCTAACCAGGAAAAGTAGTGAGCAAAACAAGCAGGAAGAAATCAACACAAACGAAACCCTAAGAAACTCGAGCACGAACTGGTAAACACGAACGAAGCTAGTAGATCCAAAATCTCAGAAGATCGATGAACAACACAAATCTATCAGCTAACCATAGCCCCAAAATGAAGCGGATCCACCGAAATTAGCAGAAAGCCCGAGTAGATAAGCAGATCGAACAAAGAAGTAGTGACGAACAAGTACAAACCACCGTGTATTACCTGAAAATCACGCCGGAGAAACTACGATTGACCGAGATAACCCTAACGAAAAACCAACCCTACGTCTCTCCCTCTCTCTCTCCCCACTCTGTGTTTACTCTTTCTCTCTCCCACTTCTAACAAACGAGATAACAAAGAAAATGGGATTTTACTGCTGCACTATAAATTACTCTTTCTTTTTTTTTTCTTTTTTTTTCGCTTCGCCTGACGAGAGAGCAAACCAAGGGTTCTTTGGTCTGCGTAATTTACAATAATACCCTCATCGGAAATAGCTGGCATATGATGACGTGGCAAGTCAGGGTTGGTCTTCCTTAATGCTGACCCAAGGTCGTGTGTGTAGTTTTTCATTGTTTGTAATGCGCTGCTGACGTGGAATTGCATAATGTTTTAATCCGAAAAAGAAGCTTCTCGAAAACAACAAGACGAAAACGTTTTTTGTCGCATTATATATATCTATGCCAAATCTTTTTCATTATATAGTAGTACGGTTTTTTTAATTTGATCTCATCCGTTTCATTAGTTTAATCCCGTTGTCATAATATACCTTGATTAGTCTTAAGGGCTTGCATCCATTTTTTATTTGTTTAAGTAAATGCACGAGAAAGCATACAGGAAATTAATATAGTGTACTTAGTACTGTGTATACGAGACCGGTTCTTGATATATAATACTATGTATTAATCAAACAAATGGGAATAAGAATCATCACTATCTCTTTTTGTATCTTTTTTTAATTCAAAGCGGTAGGCTTCTATTGAATGTTTTACTTCATATTTAGATCCATCAGTTACATGTTTCTAATTACTTTGTCATTTTTCACCGTATAAAGTACTGTATAAATGTTTTACATTGCCATTTAGATCCATCAGTTAGAGCTTTATGCTCAAATATGTAAACGTGCTTTGGCAAGAACGTAGAAAAATGATTAAGAGAGACTGAGTTATATTTATATATATACTTCTAATTACTAAATAATTCTAGTATGTCCTTGCAAGTTGTTGTAACCCATCACCAGTTTCTACTTTTAGTTTTTAGTCGACTTTCTTATGTTAGATATATCGGATTTTTGTTTTTTTCCTCTGAATTCCGTTTTATGCCTTCAAATTTTGGAAGCTCGTATTTCATTTTCAATCATCCGACTCATCCCCATCACAATCACACGAGCAAGAAGAAGAAGAAGCATATTGAATCTGCAACATAACATTTTCAACAAGTCAATTATTCTGACCAAAATTCATAGACAGCAAATCATGGACTCAACTTAATACGACGCGTGTGACATGAGGCTTGTATATATGCCTATGCTTAAGGTCAAGAAATGCATTAATTTTGAGTTTTTAATAAGGGGGTACGAGCGAGTGTTTAATAAAATATGAAGGAAAAGGTGAAATTGCTTAAAAACTTACGTAACTCTCTTTTGTTTTCATGCATGAGATACGATTTCGTAAAAATGATATATTTAGACAAGTTTGCTATATTTCTAATTTTGGGAATGTGGAGGGGTCATCACGTATTCACGTGGTTTGGTCTTGTTATGTATCTCTGTAGAAATTCAATTTACTTTTCTTATCTAATTAGTTTTTTTGTTTTTTTTGTTTATTATGGGAAAGATATTTGAATCAGGACTCTTATGAATAAGTTTCTTAATTATACTAATAGTTACACAACAGATGTCTTTTATGCCTTACAATTTTAACATCAAGTCAATTACTCTGACCTGCGGTCAAAAAGAATCATGGACAGTCGCATGCACTCAAGAGTTGTACCTGTGTGGGGGACTCGTCAGTCATCAGGCTATGTTCAAAGGCGAAGGATGCATTTGATTTTGAGTTTTAACGATGGGGTAAAAATGGGATAAATAAGCATTGGTGGGGCAAATTTGAATTTTACTTTCGATAACACTTTCGTTTTCATAGAAGTATGACCTGCGATTTTGGGGAGTAGATATACTTTTTTTAAACTTTGCTATTTTTACTAATTATGGGAATGTTGATGGGTCATCACGTGGTTTGATTTCAAACATATGTTTGGTTAGTTTAATTTTTTTTTTTTTTTTTAATTTCTTTATGTAATTGATTTGACGGCTCTTTAGTTTTCACTGGTTACTTTGTTCTTTTCCTGAAATTGGTGTACCCATCAGAAAGCTACTTGATGGCAAACTATTTGAATTTATATCATTTTTTTGGTAACTGGTATTTTCATATACGGACGATACATCAGTTGACACAACGAAATGTATCAAAGAAAATGAATAATTACAAAATGCTGATTTCAAATAAAACAATAATGATATTGTGGACTACTAGAGAAATAGTTAATTTTCTTACGAACTTTTTGTGTGTTTCTAGGCAAAGTTTCATTTACGAAATACAAAATAGGCCCCATAAAAATTATTATTAAGTTGGTAGGAGAAGATACAGAAACGATAAGATTGATTTATATCACTTAGTAGTACTACCATCATGATTCATGATTCACGTAGGTCTTATGTTCATGGCGACTCCATCTTGTACTTCTAACATATTGAATTTGCATAAAGCGTACTTCAAATTTGCAATTTGAGTTTAGGAACTGCAAGCTCCAAATATTACATTATGTGCACGCAATGTTGTAACAACTCTTAAATTATGTTATGATTTGTTTTTGTGTACTATATTATCAGCTCTCAGTTCTGAAATAACTCTTTTTTTATTATTTAATCTTCTCAAATTTTTTTTACCAGCTCTCACTTCTACAAAAATTAATTTTCAAACAGAAGATGTATATAATGCAGCAGAAAAGAACCAAAAAATACTAATGATTATCTGTTATGATCCAATTATTTTGTCTGAACAGATATTTTTCTGTTACGAATCAAAAGGAAGAAGAAAAAACACCAATGCGTTTTATTTAACTGATATGGTATCAGACCAGATGCACAAATTTGTTCAATGTGTCTTCATTTTCACAAAGATTATGATTACAGATGAGGTTTTTGTTCGGCTTAGAACATTTTTCCAACACCATCTTTTCTTGGGACGGATTCTTGAACATCCATTCGGTTCCAATTACCCATCAGAGAACCCATTTGATCAACCTTATCATACAGCCCAAGAAGCCCACCAGTGTGTATGAACAATATCTTTCTTCCTTCCCAACTTTTGGGATCTTTCTTCATCTCATTTATCAAACAGTACGCAGCTTTCCCACTGGTTTAAACACTCGAAAAAACCCCAAATGTCAAGCTCGCTATATATATTATGATGCTAATCATTCGTAACCTTTTAAAAATTACTAGAGACAAGGAAGAAGAAGAAAGACTAACGTTACCTGTAAACAGGATCAAGAATAACACTCGTTGCGCTTGCTACTTCCCTTACAAACTTAAGCTCCTCTGAAGTGTTCATCGCATATCCTTTTCCTTTGGCCTACCAAAAACATAAGAATCAAATATACATCCGGAATACTTAAAAGAAGAAAGCATTTCTTTATCACAAATTTCAATAAGGATTCAAGAGAAACCAGCATAAACAATTGTAAAGGAGAAGCCCAAGATGCTTTTGAGTTATGACACTCACATTGTGGATGTTAATGATATCACGAGAGTTTACACCAGCTTGAAGCCCATCGAGAAGGCCTTGTACAAAGTCATGGAAGTAATCAGGATCATCGCAAACCGAGAAAGCATGAACCTGTACATACAATGAAATGAGAATATAACTGAGGAGCCATCTCTCTACTTCACAGTGAGCAATACACCTAAAACTGAAGAGAGAAGACTATACACCTTGGCTTTTAGAGCACCCAACCAAGACCCCAATGAGATACCAGCAATTGTACCACCACTAGCAATGGAATCAAAAGAAAATCAAGATGAGAATGAAGCAAAACAAAAGTAGAGAACACAAAGGAAGGTTGAGCAAAAGAAGAACCTGCCACATGCTACTACAATATCATCAAACTTTAAGCCATCATTTCTACTTTTTAGCTGCTCCTCAATTTCCCTTGCTGCTTCGATATAACCCCTATAGACGATTATTATGAGGAACTCAGAACTAAATGGGCTATTGAATCACGTTTATCCAATCTTTAAGTAAGTGGAAAGCTTTACACAAGTTACTGCATTTAGATAAGAAGTTTCATATGATAACACAATCTCACCAAGTTCCCAAAGAGTTTGATCCACCAACAGGAATCACATAAGGCTTTTTACCTTCCTTCTCCAGCTTCTCTTTCAGTGCATTAGTAAGAGCCTAACAAGGTTTTTGTCAACAATGTCATGCTCAAGTAAAACTACTAATTTCGGTGTTTATTTGTTATTAGCAAAATTCTCAAAAATGCAATGGACTTAAAACCTCACTCCCAATGGAGGAATACTCTTCCTTGGAGATGAGATGAACATTAGCTCCAACGAGACGCTCCACAAGGAGATTCCCAACCAACCCAGGATCTTCGTCAGCAAGAAGCTGCAAGCAAACACAGATGAACATCCGAAACGGCGTGTGAAAAACGGAGATAACGATGAAATCAAATGAAGAAGACGGGGACCTTGGAGGTGCGGAGGATAAGATGAGTATTGAGATTGAGATAGTTAGATGCGACGGTTGTGGCACGGCAGTGATTGCTCTGGATGCCGCCGATGGTGATGACGGTGTCGGCTTGTTGATCGACGGCGTCGGCCAAAAGGAATTCGAGTTTTCGGACTTTGTTTCCGCTCAATTCCATCCCCGTGAAGTCATCCCGCTGCGAAATCGTGTAAAAAACGGTAAGCGAAGTGAAGAGAAGCGAAATAAAAAAAAAAAAAATTAGAGGTGAAAGAGATGAGACCTTGATCCATAGCTCAGTGCCATTAGGAAGACCAGGAAGATTCCATCGATGGATCGGAGTAGGAAGCTGAAGACGAAACGTTGATCAGATTAAAAGCAATGGAGAATTGAAAACATTACCAAAAAGGTATAAAATTGCGTACGTGGGCGAGGGAGAAAGTGTGGGAAGGAATCGGACGAAGATGAGAAGCCCAAGAAGGAGGAGAGTAAGGATTTTTGGTGAGAAATTCCGCCATTGAAGGTACGGATGTTGCAGACATTGTTCTGGTTCTTCTCCCAAGCTCGAGCCTTACTCTTGAGAGTGTCAAGAGTCGACTTCTCATTGCTTCTTCTTCTTCTTCTAGTCGTTTGGTGATGCTCTCATTTGACTCTCTCCATTGTTTCTCTCTTATGGCCCTCAGGCCCATTTCATTTTAAAATTCACAAACCCATTTGCATATAAGAAGGGGAAGCATTTTTACAAGAACCCCAAAGTCATTTGTTGCACATAAATAGAGTCCTCACACTCTGAGATTGCTCTGCTTAATTAAGATAACACCATATACACGCAGCTTAGTTTGTTTGTTTGTCTTTATTTAATTTAAAATTTAAAAACCGAGACTAGATAATAAAGTTAACACAACATTTACCGCTAGAAGCAACACAAACCATTATTAACCATATCTACCATGGGTTATGTCTTGTTCAGTCCTTCCTCTTCTAGATGATCATTCGGGGTCCTCCTCTTCTTCGATCTTGCTCTTCTAGCATCTTCTTCATCAGGGCTCTTCTTGGAGTTTCCATTTGCTGGCGAAAGCTTTGACTATTTCTCCACGCATCTCAACATGTATTTTTCTTTTTGGAGGTCGGCTTTCGTGTTAAAGCTTCTCACTCGGAATCCCAGTTATGGGAACTCTCTTTTCAGTACTTTTGACGAGTCCGTTATGTAATCTTTCGATTATTGTTATCAATAAAATACGAATTATCCAAGGTTGAATCTAAGGTTCACCAGTTGGCGCTCCAGAGAGGGTGATTCAAATTTTAAAGATAACAAGCCAAGATGGCAGAACAGATTCCATCCGCAGTCGGCCCGCCGACCTCCTCCATGTCGCCCGCGACTACTTCCACCACGTCACCTGCGCCGACCTCATCGATATCGCTCTTGCCGACCTCCATGGTGTCATCCCTGCCGACTCCTTCGCCTTCGCCTACGGCATCGCTTTTGCTGACTTCATTTATACCACTCATGTCGAATTCTGTAGCACTCCCCACGCCGACCCTACTGGTGTTGGAGGAATGCAGTCCAATGACGTCTCTAGAGCAATCATATGAAAGGCCGACCTCAATGGCTTCTGCCTACCGCACGTACACTCCGTCCACCAGACTGGTCTTTCTGGCAAGGTTGACGGGATCAGTTCCTGAAACTAGACCTTTCCTCACCACAACAAACGCCCCAAGTCTGACGATGTCTCCCAAAAATCCCCCGGCACAGCCTGACGTGTCGAGCCTACTCCAAATGCTCATCGCCCAAATGACCGAGAGCACGCGTGGAATGAACGAGAGACTCGACGACCTGGCTACGGTGCAACACGTTTGCCACAACAGGATTGACGAACTCCACAATCGAGGCAACGAGCAGACGCCAGCCGCAACCGCTTTTGCTCCACGTCTACAACGAGAATTATTTGAAGACTTGGACGCTAGTCCAAACGAGCAGGCCGACCGGCCCCAGAAAATTGGTCGAGAACGAGCAAACCAAAGACATTCAGGAAACGATGGCATCCGAACCCTGGAGCAGCCGAGCCCGCCGGAGGCCACCATCAGCAACCTCAATCGCCAGGATCAACGACTAAACAGCGACTTCGAAGCGATAAAAGCCCAACTGCAACGGATGAGCTCCCAGGTTCATCAGGCAACAAGCTCAGCCCCAGAACTCGACCGCATGCTAAAGGAAGCCCAGAACACTCCATTTACGAAAAATATAACCAATTTCCCAGCTCGCCACCCGGGCTAGGTTAAGGTAACACCATACGACGACACAACAGATCCCACGGGATTCATACAGTCTTTCACAATTGCCATGGGGCGAGCCCAATTCCAACCACATGAACGCGACGCGGGATACTGTCAGCTGTTTATCGAGAACTTGACAGGCGCCGCCCTGAATTGGTTCTCCCGACTAAAAGCCAACTCAATAGACAGCTATGAAGATTTGTCGTTGGCATTCCTCCAACATTATTCGATGTATATCGAGCACGGAGCTCGCGAATCTGACTTTTACACACTCCGCCAGGGCTCGAAAGAATCGTTGCGGTCATACATAGGCAAATTCAAGAATATCGTCTCCAGATTGGTTGTGTCCGACAATGTAGCTCTCCCTGCGCTCCGAAACGGACTTTGGTTCGAATCCAGCTTTTACGAAGAACTGAAAAAGAACAGACCGAGCAGTCTAGAGGACGCACTCCATCGTGCGACAATCTTCAGCGAGATCAAAGAAGAAAAAGCCGAAAAGACTAAGAAGTATGCCGCCCAACAGACGTCGACCCCGAAGGAAAAACCCAAGGAGGAGTAGTACGAGCCACGACAACACTACGACAGCAGTTACAACCACAACAAAAATAACCGAGCTTCCACTTTTGCTGTCACTGGCGCACAAATCAACTCGCAAAGTCCCGGCAGGTCGAACAAGTACGTCCGAGGCCAGAACGATTCGTCCGGAGGATCCAAATCATACTGCGACTTCTACAAGATATTCGGACATTCCACTGAAAAATACCGAGCATTACAAAACACCCTGATGACACGATTTAAGGAAGACCTCAAGGAGTCTGGGAGTGGCACTTCCCAACAGCCCCGCCGACCAAAACAAGAATGCTCATCCAAAAAACGAAGGCGAGCGTTTTTCTTCGAATTTTATTGGCTCGGCGCGAATCTGGGTTGGCTTAGAGTGGGTCTGTGTACGGACATGGGTCCCAGTCGTTGCTTTAGGTTAAGTTGATGTTTTCTCCTCCTCTTGTCTGTAAATACTTCTTTCTCCTCTTTCTTCCTGCTCCTCTTCTTTCATTCGACACTGTTCACTGCCAAGGTAGTCTTTCTTTCTTTCCTCTCTTTTCTTTCTTCTCTCGATCTGCTGGTGTTTTTTTTTTCCTTTGGCGTCGCCTTCATCTAGTGGTCTACACGGGGTCTTGAAGTGCTTCTCCTGCTGTTCTGGGTTCCTCGGCGGTTATTGGATCTCGTCGGCGCTTTGATGGCTTCGTCTCGGTCGTGATTTTTCTCCTTCGGTGTTTGATTCAGGATTCGGCTGGAGCAGTGTTCGATTTCGCGTTCGGCCAGGCTTCGAGGTCGTCATTTGTGGTTGGTTACAACTGGCTTCTGGGTTTTGGTAATCGACATTCTCCCTTGTCTGTGTGGATCTGTTTTTGCTGCTTTCGATTTGTTTTGAAACCTTTATATCGGCGTTTTCTTCGAGACTTGGGATCGGCACTCTGAGGTTGAGTTTTTTGCTCGAGATGCTGCCGACACCGATTGATTGAAGCCGAGATTGGTGAAAATTGGGTGGTAATGGATGCTGCTCGAAGTTGTTTCTTGTTGATTTCTGGAGTTGGCCATCCCTTTAAACTCAAGGTCAGCCATTTTGTTTATCTTGAGGTCGGTCGTATAGGGGTTTTGATTGTTGCCGACGGTGGCTGGATCTTGGTTTTCGAATTCTGGGTTATCTGAGGTTAGTCGTCGTTCTGTCGAAAGAGATCGAGGTCGACTAGCGCAGGGTCAGCAGAAACGGTCGTCATTCTCTCGAGTTAGTTTCGTGAGCTCGGCAAGTGCAGAGGTCGACGAGTTCGGCAAGTGCAGAGGTCGGCGAGTTCAGCAAGTGCAGAGGTCGTCATTTGGAAAGGAGTTAAGGTCGGCACGTCAGAATACGTCTTTACTCTTCAGATTAGCTTCACTTCGTCTTTCCCAAAAAAAATTTAGGTTGGTCTTTTGCTGCTTATCTTTCTTCTCGTTTGAGGTCGGCCTCCTTAGTTGATTCGGCTTTGTTCTTTCTTATTTGTAGGTCGGCATTCCATTGAGGTGGTGTAAGTCGGTGCTTGTTATCTGATTTCAGATCGGCCATTGCTCAACTCGAGCAGGTCGGCGTTGCTTTTTACCTGATGGCTCGGCATATATCTCAGGTCGGCAATCTTTATCCTTTGTTTATGAGTTAGCTATCTTGACCTTTGAGTAGCCGATTTTAGGTAGGCAAAGATTTTTAGGTAGGCAGAGATTTTTAGGTTGGCAAGGATTTTTAGGTAGGCGAGGATTTTTAGGTAGGCAATGTTTTTCGGTGGGCGATTTTAGGTAGGCAAAGTTTTTTTTTTTTTTTTTTTTAACTTGGCTGCTCTATTCTCTTTTTCAGATGGGTAGGATGCATCTTCCGAGAGGCGTCCAGCCGCAGACTACGGGGCGACCGGATGTGGTTCTGATTCTTCCGATCGGGTCAAGGCTGCCTTCGCCACCGGGGAGTATTGACTCGACGCCTTCTACTGGTGGTTCCGGATCGCCATCTTCCTCGGCTGGGACGAGGTCGGGTCGGGATGGTTCCGCCGTAGATATTAACACTCCTATGGCAAGCAGGGTGACCGGTTACGTTGGTGATGCTAGAAATGAGCTCGTTGTTTCGGCTCGTCCTGACGCAGGGTCCGCAGAGCCTGGTTCTCCCTTGCTGTCTTCAGGTGACGAGTTTCCTCGATCTAAGTCGTCGGCGCAGTCTTTGGAGGATATTCGGTATGCTTGTGGGGTTTCCGACTGGAGTTTAGAGTTCCTGGTGCGAACGAACGTCCTTGGACCCCTCCTCCCGGTTGGATCTGCCTCTACGAGTTTTGGTTCGATCATTGCCAGTTATGGTTTTCGCTGCTGAAGCTTTTGTTAGATTATTGCGAGGCTAGGGAGATTGCATTGACTCAGCTCTGTCCGGGTGCGATCCGGAACGTGGTTGGGGCGATCATAGTGGCGGAGTCGTTTGACGTTGATATGAGTCTTCGTTTCTTCGAAGAGATATCGAGTGTGGTTTGGAATACCAAAGGGGCTCAGCGAACGGTTGCCGTGAATATGAAACCGGGAAACAAGGTGGTGACTGATGTTCCGAGCAAGTCCCATTCCTGGTGGAGGCGTTATTTCTATGCCCGAGTGAATTCGGCGTTAGTTTGCGGTGGCGATAGTAGGATATTTGTGGATCGATGGAGTCCTGAATTTGGTAGACTTAGTGATTTTTCTTGCTGCCGTTTCGATGTTACTTAGTTGATATTTGTCTGTTTCCTATGCAGTTCTCCATCCGGTCGGCGAGGAGCGTCCTGTGGGTTTCGAGGAGGATCTTGCGAGGATTCGACAGTTGGGAGCTCAGCAGTGGTCTATGATTGTTGAGGCTCGGAGGGCTAGGGAGTTTTATCACGGGATTACAGGTATTTGTTCGACGTTTCTTTTTATAGCGAGTTCTTCTCCCCCCCTTTTAAAAAAAAAAAAAAAATTTTGCTCTTGTTTCGCAGTTCATTTCGACGAGACAGGAAAGATGGAGAAGCGGTTGTTGAATGTTCCTAAGCTCTCTGGCAAGAAGGCTCCGTCGGCATCCTCTGGAGATGCGGCCGGCTCGTCTTCGGCTGCTCGGAGAGTTGAGGAGAAGGATAAGAGGCCGGCCGAGCCGGAGGCGAGAGACGCGAGGAGCAAGTCATTTCCGATTCGTCTCGTGCGGGTGAAGGATAGCGCGGGAAAAGGAAAGGTCGGCGAGGCTCTTTCGGGGGAAGACCCGGGTCGTCCTGAGGGTTCTACTCGCGGCGCTGTTGCCCCGGTGCAGCGCGAAGAGCGCCCGATGGTGTACGCGCTTTCTGCAGGTAAGGGAGCATCGGCGAACGTGGATGGTGCCTTCGACGAGCCGGCCAACATGTTCGGCGGGCCTAGCGAAGTGGTCGAGGATGGCAGGGACTACTCTTTTTTGTATCAGTATGATGGGACTGATCTGTTCGCCTCCAACCCGGATGCTTGCGTTGACTTATACCAGAAGATCAGTCATTTCCACAAGGAGTACGCTTCTTACGATGCTGATGCGGTCTGGGCGAAGATTTACCGGGCGATCGCTGCTTCTACTCTTCAGGTATTTCTTCTAATGTTCTTTTTCGTTTTCCTCCTTCTCTTCGTGTGCTTGATGTCGAGGTCTATCTCTTTTTTGTTGATTTTTTTGGCAGATGACGGTGAGTACTAACCAGCTTAACTTCTTGCTGCGCCGAGAGATGCGCAAACTAGAAGACTCACTTGCTGTTGAGCGCCGAGCCAGGGTGTCCGCGGTCGAGAAGCGAAAGGCGGCCGAGCGGGAGGCAGCCGAAGCGGTCGAGAAGTTGAAGGCGGCTGAGAAAAGGGCGCTCGAGGCCGAGGAGAAGCTCAAGGCGTCTCGTGAAGAGGCTGCTGGTCACAAGGAGAGCTGGTAGAAGGCGAGGAATCATTATCGTGACCGGAAGTCGGATCTGGCTAGAGTCAGGAAGGAGAGAGACGACTCCACGGTGTTCGAAAGGAGACGCGTCCTCGACTTGGTTATTCCAGAGTATCGCGACAAGGTTGGCAAGTTCGAGCGGTTCTACAAGAGTAACGAGGCGGTTCATACTGCTGTTTCCGCCTACATGATGGCTAAAGGTAATCCTTATAGTTTTAACTTATCGAGTGAATGCTTGGTACTTATCATCGCAGTTTATGTTTCACCGTTTGATGTTCATGTGTGTCCTTCGGCTTCAGGTGTTTTTGACGCATTCACTACGTTGGTGAGTGATAAGACTCTTCTCCCCGAGGGCACGATGGCCAGGTTGGAAGGCGAGAGGGATTTTGCCAAGGAGACGGCCTTGGAGTTGGAGGTTGAAGACATTCAGGATAGTGACTTCGTGGTGGGTTCGGTTAGCGACTGGATGGAGCTCTTGACTTCCCCTTCGCCGGTGGAGGCCCCGACAGATCAGTACGGGAGAATGTCGGCAGGCCTCGCTTCTACGGATATCTCCTCTTAGGTTCCCCGGTGTGAAGGGGCCCTAGTCGTTTCTCGTTTGTCGGCGTTGCATCGCTGTTTCCACTTTGTCGTTTTTTCGTTTGAGGATTTGTACTTGTAACTCTGTTTTGCTTGTTTTGGTTGCACCTTGTTGGATTCCTTTTTCGTATCTTTCGGATCTTTGAGGTTCATGATCCTCTGCTTTGGTTATTTTGTCATTATTTTGCTGTGATCCCTTTCTGTTATGCTGAGACTCTGATGTTTCTTTATGTCGAAGAGCGAACCTTTTGTTTCTTTTTTTGACTTGATGGTGTCATTGTTTTCCAAAATTGAAATCGCAATATACGAAGCGGTAGGTTTACTCGTTCGTTTCGATTTCTTTATGCAGGTAGGGACCTGGCTTTGTTAAATTTGGGAGCGAGGCTGGGCTCGGCTCATCCCGTTTAGATTTTGCGGGACTGGGCCCGGCTTATGCGCCGATGAACTAAAAAATTTTAATATCAAAGATGTGGATTATTTCACCACTGCATCATTGGAAGACGCATTTTTCTTCTTATAGAATTAATCACCTGGCCAGGGTGTCAATGTGTTTTGGCGGTGGGGTCGCGTTAAAAGTGGAGAATAGATTGGCGACTTAATATGATTTTTATTAAATAATAGCTGGACCTTGGAAAAGGCTGCCTACGTACCCCTACATGGGGATCAAGCCGATCGTAATTCGCATTACATAGATAGCTTCGAGAGTGTATATACATGGTTTATATATAGGTTGTTGAAGTGGAGGGGAGGCACGCTCGTCCGTCGGAGTTAGAGTCGCCGAGCTGCGGAGGTGGTATCGCGGCATCGGTATTTATCGATGGACCTCCGAAAAGGCTGCCTACGTTCCCAAGTGCGGGATCAAGCCGACCGTAGTTCTCATTCCTCTCTCCCCCATCCTTTTTTTTTAAGTGGTCAAAGAATGACCGAGGTCTTTAATAATAGTATCTCTTGATGTGCATCACGTTCCATGATCTTTGGATTGCTTCCCCCGCCATGTTTGTCAGCTCGAAGACCCCTGGTTTGACGACAGTGGATATGATGTAGGGTCCTTCGCATCCGGCGACGAGTTTTCCTGCGTCTGGTTCTCTCGTGTTTTCAAAAATTTTGCGAAGCACAAGGTCGCCTTCGTTGAAATGTCGACCTCAAACCTTCTTGTTGTAGTACCGCGCCACGAGTTGCTGATAGTTCTGAATTCTTAGTAGCGCTTGGTCCCGATCTCCTTCCAGTAGGTCGAGGTGATCCTTCATGAGTTCGTCGTTGAGCGCCTAGTTTTGAGCCATCATTGTGTGTCGAAGGGATGAGATTCCTACTTCGGCTGGCGACATGGCCTCCATTCCGTGCGATAGGTTGAAGGGGGTCCTGTTTGTCGATCGTCGGGGCGAGGTCCTGTGCGACCATAGCACTCCGTCGAGTTCGTCTGCCCAGGCGCTTTTCTTTGCGTCGAGGCGCTTTTTAAGGCCGTCGAGAATTGTTTTGTTCGTTACTTCAGCTTGTCTGTAACCCTGTGGATACCGCAGGGTTGATTTATTTAGCCGAATTTTTTACTCTGCGCAGAAGTCTTCAAATATGCCTGAGGTGAACTAGGAACCATTGTCAGTGACGATCTTGTACGGGAGGCCGTGCCTGCAGATGATGAATTTCCAGACAAACTTCTGGACGTCGGCTGCAAGGATTTTAGCGTACGCTTCTGCTTCGACCCATTTCGTGAAGTAGTCTGTCATCACCAGTACGAACCTCTTCTGCCGCGATCTCGGGAGTGGTCCGATAATGTCCATCGCCCAGCGCATAACACCGTCAATAATTATGATGGTACACGAATCGTCGGGGAGTGTCGTTGGCACTTTTCGCAGCGAGCAGTGAATTTTTCGCAGTCTGTGATCATGGTCGGCCAAAATAGTCCGTGCTTTTTTATTTTTAGTGCTAGTGCCCGTCCTCCGGAGTGGTTGCCCCCTGCTCCTTTATGCGTCTCTTTCATAACGCCTTGGATTTCGCTAGTCGGGATGCAGTGCAGAAGGACTCGTAATGCACTCCAACGGCAGAGAATGTCGTCGAGAAGAGTGTTATGGGCTGATCGTGCTTTGAGGCGCCGGGCTGCCCATTTTTCAGGCGGAACTTCTCCGTCGAAAAGGTACGCTATTATCTCCTCCCTCCAATCAAGCTTGACGGGCTCTCCGGCTCTATCCGTCGGCTTGCAGTTGGTTTCGTCGGCGTCGTCAAGACCTTATTCAAGTTCTGTGACGGAGTATATTCCTTGGACTTGTTCCATGCTTGGTTCGGAAAAGAGGTCGTCCATCGGTTCGCGGGTGCTTGCGTCTGCATCGTCGAGACCCCCTTACGCAAGTTCTATGCTTTGTTTGGGTATGCTTTTGACGGGAATGAGTCGCCGTAGGTCGGGATCGGAAGTGGAAGCAAGTGCGGTGAGAGCGTCGGCCGTCGAGTTGTCACTCCGCGAAATTTTGGTTAGCGTAAAGGCACCAAAGGCTTTAGCGAGATTTTGGACGACTTTGAGGTAGGCGTTCATGCGCTCGTTCTTTGCCTCGTATTCTCCGTTGAATTGGCTCGCTACGAGCTGCGAGTCGCAAAATACTTGAATTTGATTTGCCCTTATTGGTTTAGCCAGGCGCAAGCCGTCGATGAGTGCTTCGTATTCCGCTTCATTATTGGATGCCGCGAACTCGAGTTGGAAAGATTGTTCAAGGATTTCCCCTATTGGAGATATAAGTCAGACTCCAACTCCTGACCCATTGCGAGATGATGAGCCATCGACGTATAAGGACCATACCTCCTTGGCTGAGAGGTCTTCACCGACGGCTCCTGGTGGGAGCTCGATTAAGAAGTCGGCGAGGACTTGGGATTTTGCGCAGGTTCTGTTCTTGTAATCGATGTCATATTCGCTTAACTCCCCGGCCCACTTGGCCATTCGGCCAGATTGGCTTGGACTGTGCAGAATCGTTCGTAGAGGATGATTCGACAAGACAGTGATAGAATGGGACTGAAAATACGGTCGCAGCTTTCTGGCTGCGGTGACTACCGCCAGGGCTAATTTTTCCAACGTCGGATACCTCGTTTCAGGATCATCGAGTGACTTGCTGACGTAGAAAATTGGCTTCTGCTCTCCGCGATCTTCTTTGACTAAGACACCGCTAACTGCGGAATGAGAGACCGCGACGTAGAGGTACAATGTTTCGCCGAGTTCAGGTTTTGCCAGCACAGGCAGAGTCGATTGGTACTTCTTGAGTTGTTAGAAAGCCGCTTCGCATTTATCGTCCCACTCAAACCTTTTGTTTCCCCGCAGGAGCTGATAGAAAGGTAGGTACCTGTCCGTTGATCGAGCGATAAACATGTTAAGGGCTGCGATTCTGCCCGTCAAACGCTGTACTTCTCTCGTGTTCTTCAGGGAGGGCAGTTCGAGGAGCGCGGCGATCTTTTTAGGGTTGGCCTCGATTCCCCGTTTGGTGACGAGGTAGCCCAGAAATTCTCCCAATTTAACAGCGAATGTGCATTTGGCCGGGTTTAGCTTCATGTCGTACTCGTTGAGGCTTTTGAAGCATCGTGCAAGATGGTTGATATGATCGTCGGCGTTGGCTGACTTGACGAGCATGTCGTCGATATATACTTCCATAGTGTCTCCTAGTTGCTCGGTGAACATCCGGTTGACGAGGTGTTGGTAGGTGGCGCCGGCGTTTTTCAGACCGAACGGCATGACTTTGTAGCAATACGTTCCGCGCTCTGTGATGAAAGAGGTTTTTTCTCGGTCGTCGGGATGCATCATAATTTGATTGTACCTAGAAAAAGCGTCCATGAATGACAAGAGTTCATTCCCGGCCGTTGCTTCTACGAGTCGGTCTATATGGGGAAGAAGGAAACTATCTTTGGGGCATGCCTTGTTGAAGTCGGTAAAGTCGACGCAGACTCTCTACTTTCCGTTCTTTTTTTTGACGACCACCGGGTTAGCCAACCACTCAGGGTATAAGACTTCGATGATTGATCCTGCGTTAGACAATCGCTCTACCTCATCGTTAATTGCTTGTGCTCTTTCTGGACCAAGCTTGCGCCGCTTTTGCTTGATCGGTTTGTACGTTGGATCGACTTGTAACTCGTGTTGAACGAGAGACGGTGGCACTCCTTTCATATCTTCGGCGGTCCAAGCGAAAGTTGAGACGTTTTGACGAAGAAATTTGACGAGTCGTTCACGCAGGCCGTCACTTATTCCCGTTCCTATGCCGACGCATCGCTCGGGATCTTGTGGGTCGATGTTAACCTACGTGACATTTTCTCGCTGCTGATCGTCGGGTGTTGGGAGTTTGTTCCGTACGTTTGTTACAACTAGGCATGTTTGGGCCGCCTTTTTGATCTTATGCTCGGTGATAAAACATGTTCTCGCTAAACGTTGATTTCCACAGACCGTGAAGACGCCGTCCGTCGTCGGGAACTTGAGGCATTGGTGAGAAGTGGACGGTACTGCCTTCATTTCAAGCAGCCAAGGTGTTCCCAGGATTACATTGTAAATCGCCGGTTTGTCGATGACCACGAATTTAACTATCTTGGTGATTCTTCCAACGCATACTGGGAGCTTAACGGTTCCGATGGTCATAGTTTGGTCACCGCCAAATCCGGTTTTGCATCTCCATTCGTTGTAACGTTTCTTTGAACATTAGATCGACGGTGCTTCCAGTGTCGATCAAGACCCTAGATACTTCACAGTCTCCTAATCTGAGTTCGATGACCAGGGGTCGTTGTGCGGTGTGTGCAGTCCATCGGTATCAGTTTCGTCAAAGGATATATCGGCACCGATTTTGAGCTCATTGTTGGGGTTGCGTCTCCAAAGTTGGACCGCGCTAGATTTCCTTTCGTAGTCCTTCATTGATCGTACTTAATCTCTGCATGACGGAATCCCCCCATGGTCATATTAATCCTTCGCCTCGGAGGACCTTTGCCGTTTCCCTTTTCCTGATCGTCTCGCCCGCGCTTTGGTGGCTCCATGTCCGAATCAATAGGGCCGGCCTGTTGATTTGTTGTTGCGTCAGTCGGCGATTTCTTGGCCTCTACCTGGGCTAGTCGGAAACGCTCGCCTTCGTTTTTTGGCTGAGCATTCTTGTTTTGGTCGGCAGGCTGTTGGGAAGTGCCACTCCGAGACTCCTTGAGGTCTTCCTTAAATCGTGTCATAAGGGTGTTTTGTAATGCTCGGCATTCTTCAGTGGAATGTCCGAATATCTTGTGGAAGTCGCAGTATGATTTGGATCCTCCGGACGAATCGTTGTGGCCTCGGACGTACTTGTTCGACCTGCCAGGACGTTGCGAGTTGGTTTGTGCGCCAGTGACAGCAAAAGTGGAAGCTCGGTTATTTTTGTTGTGGTTGTAACTGCTGTCGTAGTGTTGTCGTGGCTCGTAGTACTCCTCCTTGGGTTTTTCCTTCGGGGTCGACGCCATTTGGGCGGCATACTTCTTAGTCTTTTCGGCCCTTTCTTCTTCGATCTCGATGAAGATTGTCGCGCGATAGAGTGCGTCCTCTAGGCTGCTCGGTCTGTTCTTTTTCAGTTCTTCGTAAAAGCTGGATTCGAACCAAAGTCCGTTTCGGAGCGCGGGGAGAGCTATGTTGTCGGACACAACCAATCTGGATACGATATTCTTGAATTTGCCTATGTATGATCGCAACAATTTTTTCGAGCCCTGGCGGAGTGTGTAAAGGTCGGATTCACGAGCTCCGTGCTCGATATACATCGAATAATGTCGGAGGAATGCCAACGACAAACCTTCATAGCTGTCTATTGAGTTGGCTTTCAGTCGGGAGAACCAATTCAGGGCGGCGCCTGCCAAGTTCTCGACAAACAGCTGACAGAATCCCGTGTTGCGTTCATGTGGTTGGAATTGGGCTCGTCCCATGGCAATTGTGAAAGACTGTATGAATCCCGTGGGATCTGTTGTGCCATCGTATGGTGTTAGCTTAACCTTTTCCAGGTGGCAGCAGCTCGAGCAAAAAACTCAACCTCAGAGTGCCGATCCAAAGTCTCGAAGAAAACGCCGATATAAAGGTTTCAAAACAAATCGAAAGCGGCAAAAACAGATCCACGCAGACAAGGGAGAATTCCGATTACCAAAACCCAGAACCGTAAAATCAAGTTCGAAATTAGCCACCGACAAATCAAAGATACGCCGACCACCTTCGCCTTTAACCTACGATCATCGTAATTTTCCTTCAGAATGGGCTCCTTCTAAATGCCTACCTCAAACTAAACCCCGAATGCCGACCCGTTGAAGCACGAGACGACGGGAAACCAGAAGCCAGTCGTAACCAACCACAAATGACGACCTCGAAGTCTGGCCGAACGCGAAATCGAACACTGCTCCAGCCGGATCCTGAATCAAACACCGAAGAAGAAAAATCACGACCGAGACGAAACCATCAAAGCGCCGACGAGATCCAATAACCGCCGAGGAACCCAGAACAGCAGGAGAAACACTTCAAGACCCCGTGTAGACCACTAGATGAAGGCGACGCCAAAGGAAGAAAAAAAAAGCACCAGCAGATCGAGAGAAGAAAGAAAAGAGAAGAAAGAAAGAAAGACTACCTTGGCAGTGAACAATACCAAATGAAAGAGGAGCAGGAAGAAAGAGGAGAAAGAAGTATTTATAGACAAGACGAGGAGAAAACATCAACTTAACCTAAAGCAACTACTGGGACCCATGTCCGTACACAGACCCACTCTGAGCCAACCCAGATTCGCGCCGAGCCAATAAAATTCGAAGAATCCGTTGACTCAAGGTCAGAATTTTTCGTCAAACGGACTGGGGGGAGACTTACTGTTGGTACTGGGCCTAGACAAGGCCCACTTTATCAGCTCGGCCCAAAATCGACTCTCAGGCTTAAAACCAACTCGGCCCAAGATCAGCCTGGCCCAAGAAGAAGAGATTTTCGACCAGATTCAAGGATAAAACCCAGAACAGTCAGGTCGGCCCAAATACACGAAAATGGCTCGACAAGGCCCATTTAGCCAGAAAGTCTGTGAAGCCCAATGAAGCCACCGTCCTAATTCCTTGTAAATAGGACCGTACCCTGTACGAAAAACATATTCATTACTCCGGATTTTATGGAATTAAGCTTTAATCACGCGTTGTAACAATTTCTCCTTTTCGGAGGTCGGCTTTCGTGTTAGAGCTTCTCGCTCGGGATCCCAGTTTTTGGGAACCCTCTTTTCAGTACTTTTGACGAGTCCGTTCTATAATCTTTCGATTCTTGTTATCAATAAAATACGAATTATCCAAGGTTGAATCTAAAGTTCACCAAGCAACACGGCATACAGAACAAGACCAGCGAGCTTCACCCGTTTCACTGCACTTGTCCTGAAGAACAAGTCTTATTCTCTTATCTGCAGACTCTTCCAGTAACCTTTTCCAGAGCCACTCTTCTTTAACACCAAGCAGAAGAAAGCATTTCCAGAGCCAGCGTGGAGCTGGATATCGTTGAGGATATGCCAGAAGAATTCTGTATCCCTTAAGGATTAAGTCGTGAAGTAAAGGAGCTAAGCATTCCAATTGACAAATACCGGATATGAGCATTATAGTAGCCGGATATGGATTCACATGGGTCCACTCGTGCAAATCCGCTTCAACATCGTGGGCATGTGTAAGAGCGATTCCAGTGGAATAGAGCTCTCGCAGGACCTTGTCACGAGGTGTCTGTGTTAGGTTGCCAATGGCAGTGATGGTCAAAGAACCAGAATTCTTCAACGCAGATTCAATTCTCGGACGGACCAGACGAGATGCTGCACTGAGACGAGTACGGGACAAGAAACAGGGACGGGAAACGATAAGTTTAAAAAGTAAGGGTACAGGTACCTTATGGGTATGTTAAAAACTATGTATAAAATAGTACAAGTAGATTAAAATAGAGAAAAACCAGACATAAGTTTCAACCAAAAAACACCAAAATATCTTAAAAAGTAATAGAAAGCACAAAAAAAAACCAAAATATCTTAGAAAGCAATCGAAAGCACAAACAAAACTAAAGTTACTCAACAAGTAACTGATTTTCAAAATCTGGTTCATCTAGTGAGAGATTTGCAAACTCCAAGAATCCCACATCTTCCATAGAATCAAAATCATCTCCACCAACATCCTACATCTTGGTCTTTTCAGCTTCATATTGATCAGAATTTCTTGATAAAAGATGCAGGTTGTTGTGGATGTAAACCAAATCTTGAGCATGACTTGGATTTAGCTTGTTTCTTCTTTGTGAATGAGTAAGTATTCCAATTACGCTCAGCACAAGAAGAAGAAGTAGGTTGTCCAAGCAACTTAAAAGCCAAACTTTGGAGGAGAGGAGTTTGGGCACCAAAATTAGCCCACCAACTCTTAGGTTCCATAGTAGATATCACTGAAATGCATGTTAAATCCTCAAAAGTACCCATCTTCATCGAAAACAATGCATATTCGTTCATAACTTTGTTATGTTCATCATCACTTGAAAATAATCTTCTAAAACACTTCCTCTTCTCACGTGAGATTTCTGAATCTCTATGGGAACCAAGTCTTGAAGAATCTTCATTTAACCATTGTTCACTATAAAACCTATGATATAAAAAATTTGTTATATATAATATATGTGTGGCAATGAAAAAAAAAAAAAAAAAAGAATCATATACTTTTTTTTATCATTTATCTTGGATGTAATGAGTGAACTATACAATGTAGAGGAGTGTTACTCTTTGTCCAACGAGCTACTAAGATATCATAAACCACTTGATAGAATACACAATATTCAGACATTGGGAGATTTTCTCTCTTAAAGATCTCAAGCTTCACCTTTTCGATCATGGAGTCCCACATCTCGTAAACCAAGTGACGGCATGGCTTGTCCGTGTCACAAAATCTAATCATATCATATATTGGTTTAGTGAAATCAATAATAAGACACCTTTTCCCACCATTCATAATCTTCTCTTTAACCAAGCTTGCTTTGCCAATGTCATCTTCTCTGTAGATAGACCACTCTTCACTTATAATTATTGCTTGAAGACCTCTTCTTATAAGCTTCAATCTCTTAAGCATTACAATGATGGAGGCAAAACGGGTATGAGCAACTGAAAGCAACTTAAGAGTAGAGAACTTACTGAAAATAGCAGCCTCATATTGTGGTTCATGATAAATGTTTAATTGCCAGCGCATCCCCATGAATATCAGTTATCCAATTACACTCCTCATATGTTACTTGATTCCCATCAGTATTCTTTGCTGCACAGATGTTCTTCAAGGCCAAGGTAATGGTATGAACAACACATGGTGTCCAATAGATGTGGGTAAATAGACTCTCAATAATTTCTCCCGCTGCCTTACAATTTGCTGCATTGTCGGTGATTACCTGAATGCAGGTAATGCAGGAAATAGACTCTCAATGCATTACCTGCATTCAGGTAATCACCAACAATGCAGCAAATTGTAAGGTAGCGGGAGAAATTATTAAGAGTCTACTTCTCCACATCTATTGGACACCATGTGTTATTTATACCCTTAACTTGGCCTTGAAAAACATCTGTGCAGCAAAGAATACTGATGGGAATCAAGTAACATATGATGAGTGTAATTGGATAACTGATATTCATGGGGATGTGCTGGCAATTAAACACTTCATCATGAACCACAATATAAAGGTGGCTATTTTCAGTAAGTTCTCTACTATTAAGTTGCTTTCAGTTGTTGATCCCCGTTTTGCCTCCATCATTGTAATGCTTAAGAGATTGAAGCTTATAAGAAGAGGTCTTCAAGCAATGGTTATAAGTGAGGAGTGGTCTACCTATAGAGAAGATGACATTGGCAAAGCAAGTTTGGTTAGAGAAGATTGTGAACGATGAATGGTGAGAAAATGTGTCTTATATTATTGATTTCACTAAACCAATATACGATATGATTAGATTTTGTGACAAGGACACACCATGCCTTCACTTGGTTTACGAGATGTGGGACTCCATGATTGAAAATGTGAAGCTTGAGATCTTTAAGAGAGAAAATCTTCCAATGTCTGAATATTGTGTATTATATCAAGTGGTTTATGATATCTTAGTAGCTCGTTAGACAAAGAGTAACACTCCTCTACATTGTATAACTCACTCATTACATCCAAGGTAAATGATAAAAAAGTATATGATTCTATTTTTTTTGTTTCATTGCCACACATATATTATATATAACAAGTTTTCTATATCGTAGGTTTTATAGTGATCAATGGCTAAATGAAAATTCTTCAAGACTTGGTCCCCATAGAGATTCAGAAATCTTACGTGAGAGGAGAAAGTGTTTTAGAAGATTGTTTTCAAGTGATGATGAACATAACAAAGTTATGAACAAATATGTATTGTTTTCGATGAAGATGAGTCTTTTTAAAGATTTAATATGCATTTCAGTGATGTCTACTATAGAACCTAAGAGTTGGTGAACTAATTTTGGTGTCCAAACTCCTCTCCTCCAAGGTTTGACTTTTAAGTTACTTGGACAACCTACTTCTTCTTCTTGTGCTGAGTGTAACTGGAGTACTTACTCATCATTTATTCACTAAGAAGAAACAAGTTAAATCTAAGTCGTGCTCAAGATTTGATTTACATTCACAACAATCTGCGTCTTTCATCAAAAAATTCTGATTAATATAAAGCTGAAAAGACCAAGATGTGGGAAAGACCAAGATATGGGATGATGGTAGAGATGATTTTGATTCTGTAGAAGATGTGGATTTCTTGGAGTTTGCATATCTCTCACTAGATAAACCAAATTTTGAAAATCAGTTACTTGTTTAGTAACTTTAGTTTTGTTTTCAGTTTTATTTGTGCTTTCGATTGCTTTCTAAGATATTCTGGTGTTTCTTTTGGTTTTTTTTGTGCTTTCTATTACTTTTATTCTGGTGTTTTTTAGTTGAAACCTATGTCTAGTTCTTCTCTATTTTAATCTATTTATACTATTTTATACATAGTTTTTAACATACCCTTAAAGTACCAGTACCCTTACTTTTTAAACTTGTCGTTTCCCGTCCCGTATCGTCCCCGTTTCTTGTACACGTACCCGTCTCAGTGCAGCATAGATAACCATCGGGAATAGGACAGCTGTTGATGTGCCACAATACCAACGTTTTCTGCTCCTTATACTGCGTCACTTCGTTGTTCTTCTTAGTATACTGCGTCACTTCGTTGTTCTCCTTCTTTTACTGCGTCACTTTGTTGTTCTTCTTCTTATACTGCGTCACTTCGTTGTTCTCCTTCTTATACTGCGTCACTTCGTTGTTCTTCTTCATTTTATACTTGTTGTGCATGTCTTTACGGCACTTTTCCTTCAATGTTTTGGCATCAACCAAAGTCCGTGCTATCCAAATTCGTGCTATCAATTATAAATTCAAAAAATAAAAATAAAAAATAAAAATTCAACTTGGGGTATCAAAAACTTGCCTTTGATTCAAGACTCTTGCTCACGTCTGCTTTGCACAGCAATTGCCAGTCCTGCTTGACAACCAAATGCACATCCAGTGGAAATCAGGTAAATCAACTCAGTGCTATCCAAAATCGTGCTATCAATTGTAAATTCAAAAAATAAAAATAAAAACGAAAACTCAACTTGGGGGTATCAAAAACTTGCCTTTGATACCAGACTATGGCTCACGTCTAAATTGTACAGACATTCCCACTCCTGCTTGACAGCCAAATACACATTCAATGGAAATCAGAGAGGTGTTTTCTTTGAAAGGGAAACTTGTGACAATGGCAACTAGGTAACTTGTGAAAGGGGTCTAAATTTGAGATATTAAAAAGCTTGCCTTTATGGTATCAGGGTCATTGTTTGGAGGCGGAGGTTTAAATTTAGAACGATCCACACCTTTGTGACTAGCCACGCGGGCCCACTCCTGCTTAACAACCAATTTGTGGAAATCAGAGAATGACAAATATGTAGATACAACATCTAGAAGCAGAGAGAGAGAAATGCTTACATTATATGCATGTATTACACTCTTGAGATGCGTGGTGAGATCTTCACAGCTTTGGGCAGCAAAAAGGCAGACTGAGCATTGCCAGGGAGATTCCTCCGTTTCAGTGCAAAGGTCCGGAAGAACAAGTCTTGTTGTTGTCTCCTGTTTATTATCGTCTGCTGCACCTGTGGAAAAAAATAACACTCGTGTGAGAAACAGCAGGTTTGGATCTAGACTGTGAGTGTGAGAGAGAGGACAAACACCACCTTCCAGTATGCTTTTCCAGAGCCACTCTTTAGAAACACCAAGCAGATAGCTTTTCTGAGCTCGTTGAGGGCATGCCAGAAGAATTGTGTATCCCTTCTTGTGTAGGCTGTGAAGTGTAGTAGCTAGGCTTTCCAATTGACCAGGACCGGATATGAGCATTATAGTAGCAGGAGATGGATTACGAAGGCTCCACATAACGAAAGGCCATCCAAGGTCGGCTGTTTTCATAAAAGTAAAGCAACTTCTCTGAATCTCAAACCCTAGTTTTTTTTATTAAAAAATCCGTACAGAAAGAGAGATGAAAGAAGACTAACGGTGGGAATGTTCAAGAGCGATTCCAGTGAAAGAAAGCTCTCGCAGGGCCTTGTCACCAGGGGTTTGACTTAGGTCGCCAATGGCAGTGATGGTTAGAGGACCAGAGTAGCCTGAATTCTTCAACGCCGATTCTATTCTCCGACCGACCAGACGAAGATCATAACCATTCGGAAATCGGACAGCCGTTGATGTCCCACAACACAAACGTTTTCTCCTTCGACAGCTGCTGCGTCGCCTTGTTGTGCATGTCGTATTTATTTACTATTCTTCAACCTACATAAAACAATCAGGTTCAAAATCGCAGTTTAGGACTTTTTAACCTAGAACTTAAATCTTCTCCAATCAAACAAACATCACATAAGCATTGGTTGGTTTATACGGGGCACGGACCGATAATTTTAGATAAAAATTCTAAAGTTTATATACATCTTACAACAACTGTCAATCACGCTGGCCCGGCCCAAAACATACTCATAGATTATATTTGAAAAATGTGGAAAAAATATCGTTCATATGTTACTCAATCCTTGCCTCTATCACAAGTAATTTAACTTGAAACTTTTGTCTCTGGTGTTTTCAAATTTTTAACCACTCAAGACAAGGACACAAACCCCAGCAGAACTTTGTTGAGTAAATAATAATCTTTCATTGAAACAACTTGTAATAATTGTATTTTATCAAAACCAACGCTTACCTCTTCGTTTTGTTTTGATCGGAAGGGAGGCAGTGGAACGGGGATCTTTGCTGGTGGGCGGCTTCCTGTAAAGAGAGATCTAGCTTAAGCTCACGGCGAAAAGAAAAATCTAGCCTCGAGAAGAAATCAAATAGAAGACCACAAAGACATAACCAAATAGTGATACAGGGTGAAGAATTTTACAATCTAATACAAGTGCCAAATGAGATACCACAGGAACAAGACAGACAATATAACTACATCTCACAAACCATCTGTGCCAACTGGCCAGCCAGGTGCCTTGGTCGGAGCATCCAAACGCTCTAAAATTGACTGGTCAGCCTTCATGATCGATATCGAGAACCCTGAGAAGAGAAGGAAGGGAGAATAAGAGCAACAGTTTAAAACCGGTGGCTCTACATAGACACCACACACAAAAAAAACAGTCACCTGCCATATCAAGAGACGTCATAAATGATCCAGTATACACCCTATCAACGGCAAGTCCATATTCCAATTGTAATTTAGCGACTGCTTTCCCAGCAGCAATCATAAGTTCCATTAGAGGGGTACCACCTAAGCTGCAAAAAAAAAACAGGAAATAGAAAAATATTTTCAATGATTAAAACATTCAGACATAAATTAAGCAAACTCGTTAGACCATAAGTGAGAAAAATAAGTACAAAGGGTCACCAAAATAGGAAGATGGAATAATATACAGGCTTACCCATTAACCATCAGAACGACACTGTTACCACGTGTAATTGGAACATAGTTAGTCTCCTGCAGTTAGAAAGAATGGATAGGCCAATGAATGAAACACGAAACATGTATTTCTAATACTATTATTATCTTGGAGTCAGTAAGTCAACAACTACAAGATATTTATGGAAAGAAGAGAACAGGAATGGTGTACATACTGGAATCAGTATCTGTTGAAGAACATGGGATACAACAACATCCACAGGTTGAATATCGACCACAGCAGCACCAGGTTCCCCATGCTGAAAGAAAAGTTCAAGATACCAAGAAAATTAAAAAAAGTCAAAGACACAAGATGCAGCAATGTGAGCTATCTCTTTCCTAATGACATAAAACAAAATAAGAAGGGAAACAACATACAACTCCAAGCCCAAGTTCCATTTTCTCTGGACCCAAACGATCTGATGCATCCTGTCCCGGAAGCGAACAAACAGATAGTGCAACACCCATGGTCCCAACCATCTCAGATGCACGTTTTGCTTCTGCCGCTACTTCAGCTAGAGAAAGACCAGCAGCAGCTGCTGCCCCAGCAACCTATCCTCAACCAATAACAATAAGAAAGGAGAAACAAAATATATAAATGCATGAGGCTTAGACGTCACAGAAAAATCTGACTACAAACAAACTAGAAAAGCTGCTACGATAGAGGGGAAGTAAAGTGGAAGTTAGACAGAGAACCTTATGGACAAGGATTGTTCCAGCTAAACCTCTGCGTCCAGCTATGCCACGCGGCGGGGGTAGAGCACAATCATCTCCAACAATCACCGTCTACAGATTTGATCATGTCATCCTTCTGACTAATGCTCTTACCAAAGTCTAAAACAACAAACGGACAAGTACCTCTACTTCAAAACCTTCAGTTTTTGCTTGCTCAGCTGCTAGGCCAAAGTTCAAGCGATCACCAGTATAGTTCTGTCAAAGACAATTAGAGAAGAAACAAGATCAACCAAACACATTGAGAGATCTAATTCATAGCTCTTAAAAAGCTATTGATAAATATGCATCTCCTTAGTTACGTTCTAAGTACCGTGACAACCAAGAGGCATCCCTTCGGACCAGTTACAGCTCGAATCCCCTAGAATTACACAAAACTTTCACCATTCACTTGAAAGCCTCAAGAAAGGAAGGGAAATTTTTTGAGAAGGCTTACAGCTAAGATGGAATCAACCGGTGGCGAAGCAAACACATCTCCGCATATAGCCGCCGTAAGCATTCCTTCTCCCACATACCCAGCTTGTGCTGGTTCATGCCCACTTCCTCCTCCTGTGTTTAAAACGACATTGCATAACACGAAACCAAAACTCAGTTAAACAGAGATAAGATCCGAACAAGAAACTCCTAACCTGATATAACGGCAACCTTGTCGTAATTTGCAGCGGAGACATCAGCTCGTAGTACAACCTTGACCTGTGAAGTCATTGAATAGTCAGAAACTAGCTGAGATTTTTTGCACGGCCATGGAGGGAGTAATCGAAATGGCAAGCAAACAAAAGCGGAAAGAGATCTAATAACCTCAGGAAGGCCATCCAAATACTGGAGTCCAGGATAGGTTTCGACTAGACCCTCGATGAACTCGGTTACCACATCTGCAATTTGCACAGTAACGAGATCATTCTCTCTTGCAAATTTGCAATTGATATGTCAAGAGATAGTACTACTACCATATGCTAATGCTACGAAGTCTAGAAATGTGCAAATGTGAAGAGATATCGTGCACAGTAACACATTTGGGCATATCAAATAGGTCAACACTCAATAGTCTCCACTCTCCATAAACATGCACACTCTCATCCGGAATTTTAATAACAGTACTGAGATTAACCGTCGAAAACAGATAGCTCACGATTCGATAACAGGGGAACACAAAAGGAGAACGGAGTAAGGAGACGAGTGAGCACGAACCGTTTGGGTTGTTGATGAATTTCTTAGCCGGAGTAACCATGGTGCTAGCTTTCAGGGTGATAAAAACCTGAGAATCGGAGAAACTTGTATAGAGAAAGAAAGAAGGGATTAATTGAAACTTTGTGAGTCAACAACAACAATGGCAGAGAGGAGGACAAGTTACAGAAGAAGAAGCTAGTGAGTGTTTGTATTTGTTCCGTAAACCCAAATAATAAATCTCAACCGATAAACCGAATTGAACCGGAAAACTGACATATGGCATCAAACCGATATATGGAAATATTGGGTCGGAGGTGAGCCCAGCAAGTAAAAGAATTAACTTAATTAGTAAGAATAAACCACGTGTCCCACGTAGACGGTTCGTGATTATTCTTCGTCTACTTCGCACGGAAGAGAGCCGACAGAGAGAGAGAGAGATCCAGAAGAAGGAAAAGTATGGCTTTGCAATGGCTGATCCTGTCGTATGTGGTGGCCGCCGAAGTTGTAATCGCCGTCGTGTTGACTCTCCCTTACCCTATGCTTGTGAAGAAACGTGTCGTATCACTTGTCTCTCTCATTCTCCAACCTGCTGCTTCCATCGTCGCCTTCGCCGGATTTCAGCTCCTCGGTGACCTCATCTCTCTCTCTCTCTGTATCGATTCTGATTCCTATATTCCTTATTCGGAATCGAATTGATGCTAATTAGTTAGGTTTTTTGAGCCGAGGGTGATTGATTTTATGGCTTTGGTAACACTTGTGTGTTTGCTTATTTTGTTTGATTTTTCATCCGTTTTTTCAGATATTTACTGGAAAAATGAGCATAGACTTTCTTGTTCATCTGAGGTATGCACTGCTACAGAGCGAGATCGCTACGAGAAATCTGTAAGTACCAATTGGAAATGAAATTTCTTAAATTTATCAACGTTTGTCTTTGATTCTACAGTTGAATTCTAAGTTTCTGAAACTTTTTGAACGGTAAATTGTTAAGCTGAGAATTTCATCTTGATTAATTTCTCCCCTCTTTGATCTGAACCCAGAAGATCATGATTGAAACTAAAAATATATGAGAAAATTGGCTCTTATTGTCTAAGAAAGTTGTATAGATATTACTCTCTCAAAGATGAAATCTTTTTAGGTCTCCCATTGATGTACACATATCTCCTTAAATCATTGCCTACTGTCAAATACCAACATGAGTATTTGCTCTCATAGTTGAAGTAAATTTTGAAGATATTACTCTCTCAATGATGAATCTTTTATTAACTCTTCCATTGATGTACTCATATCTCCTTAAATCCTAGATCTAGCTACTGTCAACTAGAGTTTTATCTTGATTAATTTCTCCCCTCTTTGATCTGAAGATCAAGATTGCGACTAAATTATCTGAAAATTTGCTCCCATAGTTCAAGAAAATTATATTACTCTCTCAATGATGAATCTTCTATTAACTCCCATAGTTCAAGGAAATTGTATAGATCTAGCTACTGTCAAATTTGTGTTTAAGACAATGACACGAGTCTCATTATTATGTTAAACTTTACACAAATGTTATTATGTTTCTTCTACTAACGAAAGAGTTGTGTGTTTGCGATGTACCACAGATCTACAAGGCTCAGAGGAATGTGGTTCTGTGTGCTGGAGGAATTCTTCTCTACTGGTAACATCATCAGCCATTATCATTCATTTGCACAACACGAACTCTCGCGTAATTCACTGATATTGATCATTTATTTCATTTACAGGTGCATCTACCGCATCTGCAAGTACAACAAGGACCTGGAGATCTTGGAGGAAACAGAGAAGAGATACAAGGACGAGTAATCTCCACGAATGTAGAGAGTTGGTTCCTCAAAGCCATTATTATTATATAAGTAGAGTTATTGTTGCGTTTTTACTTTCAAATATTGCTAAACCTGAACGAAACCGTGAGTATCGTGAACAGCTTTGCAGACTTATATATATGTAATCAGTGTTCATTTCATCGTCTTGATGTTGTGGGGATTTCAAAAAGAGATTTGTTTCTCGACAAATCTCCATGTCTTACGCTCCCTCACTCAATGCCTACATATAAATGTGTGCTCCTAAAACTCAACATGTTGTTGGTCTTTGATTAATTGGAAAAAAAAAAGAGTTGTTGATCTCTAGACGATTGGAACCACTTTTAGTAGAAAAATACTTGATAATCATGAAGAGTCGGCTTAATTAACTTAAGACTCAGTTTGATTAAAAAAGACCATTGGTCTTTAATTAATTGAAAAAAGTAAGGGAATTTGCTCTTAAGTCGTAACTACAGGTGGATCTTTTCGGGAACATAAACAATCTAAATACAGAAGAAAGACAAAAAAAAAAAAAAACAAGAAAGAGCCTACAAAATATTTTGATTTGAAACTTTACCTGCACTCTCAATATTTGCTTTGTTCGTTCTGAAGAAACACATGAAAGCATTCAAGTTTTATTCTCATACCGAACCTATATGTCATCTCTCGGATCTGGGGAAGCCTCACACACTTTGTAGACGATATGATCCTCCACTCTCTGTCTGTTTTACGTGCAAAGACGAGCACCTGGAAGGAAGTAAGTACCATTACTACTGTGCTACTTGCAATTTAGAATTCCATAGAGGTTGTCACAGGTTCCCACCAGAGGTCATACACCCTTTTCATCCTTCTCACCCTCTAACTTTCGTTTGCACAAATCCTGTTTTCCACATTTCAATGCTAGCCCCTTTTTGGAAAGATGAATCCATGAATTCAGATGCATCTGAAAGTGATGATGATGACGTCGTCTCTGTATCCGAAGAAAACGTTGGTAAATGCAAATGTTGCTGGAGACCTCGTAATGAGTCATACTACCATTGTTTCATATGCAACTTCAGCATAAACGCCTTGTGCACTCGATACCGACCACCACTTATCATCTCATATCTAAAAAGCCATCAACACACCCTCACCCTCTTTCATACACGACTCCCTTTGCCCTGTAATGCTTGCGGAGTGTCTCTGGATGACTCTACATATAAAGATTTTGTTTACGCTTGTCTCCCTTGTAGCTACATGGTCCATAGAAACTGTATCTACTTACCTCGTGTCATTAAGCTCACTCGCCACCCGCACCGTCTTTCTTTCTCTTCTGTGCTTTCTTCTAATGACATCCCTTGTGGTGTCTGTCGCCAAAGTGTCAGCGTTAACCATGGGCAGTACTCTTGTAATAAAGGATGTCCTTATGCTGTCCATTCCAAATGCGCGACAAGGGACTACGTGTGGGATGAGAAAGATCTTGAAGGCGTACCCGAAGAACCTGTTGACGTTACTGAGCCATTCACAAGGATTGATGAATCCACAATACGACACTTCAGCCATGACCATCATCTAAGCCTCTACTGCAATGACAAGAGTAGAGATGAAGAAGAAAACAAGTTTTGCCAGGGATGCATCCTTCCGATAATGGTCTCCGAGAAGTTTTATGGTTGTGTGCAGCAGTGTGATTACATACTTCATGAAGCATGTGCATGCCTTCCCCTGATCAAAAACTATCCCCTACACAGACACTCGCTTATCCTCCGAGTCCCGTTCCCTCCTGAACACCATGAGCTCTGGTTTGAGGAATATGATGAAGGTATGTTCCAATGCAGTTCTTGTTACCAAGAATGTTGCGGGTTTCTGTACAAATGCGGGGAAGAAGGCTGTAAGTTTCAGCTAGACGCAAGGTGCGCTTCACTTCCGGATCCTTTCACTCATGGAAGCCATGGCCACCCATTTTTCTTCAGTTTCACCTGTGGTACTTGCATGGTTTGTAAAATCTTTTCCTTTTCATATTCTATGCTAGAATGTGTTAAGAGCAAGTCTCTCTTGTGTCTCAAATGCGCCACTATACCTTGTGTGGCGCATTACATATATGATAGGCATCCACTCACTCTCTGCTACGGCGAAGAAGACGCAACGAATCTCACTTATTGGTGCGAGATTTGTGAATCAAACATCGATGCTACGAAGTGGTTCTATACATGCAACTGTTGTGGTGTCACTCTCCATCTTCGATGTCTATTGGGGTACACCACAGGATCAAGCTATACGGTAAAGAGTTTGAAGTTGTTCTCAATGTTGGTAACTCTCGCCCACTGTGCCATAGATGTAGTAGACGTTGCGTAGAGAGGTTGGTGCTCAAACGCAACGGTAAATATTGTTGTAGTTATATTTGTCTTCGAAGTGATAGATATCTGTCTCCTGCTAAGATTTGAAATCTTTTCAATGATATTGGTATGTTATGAACGAGGTTTTTTCTTTTTTATCATACCAGAAACGAATCTAAGCTCGGAAGCATCCTCTTCAGAGAGATGGTAATAATCAAATTCTCAAGACTTCAGTTTGCAAAATGCATTCAGAGAAACAAGTGAGAAGAAAATCACGTAAAAAACTCATCACGAATGTATCTTGAGGGTAACAAATATTAGTTAAGTCAGTTGCATATATTACAAAGACAAACACAAAACCATCTCAGTTCAGTACGAAGTGATACCTTGAATCCACATGGCTCTCCACATCCCATAGGAACGACCCAAACGTCACAGCCTCCAACACAAGCCTCTTCAGTCCCTTGAAGCTGATCTTTATCTGCTCGTCCTTCAGCGAATCTATTGTGCCTTGTGGCGTTATCACAATCTCTGGCCTCCCAAACAGAGCCTCTGTGTGCTTCTCGATGATCCCAACCGCTTCTCTTGATCTTATTGTCGCGTATCTCTGAAGGGTCTCTCCGTCAAAGGACATAACGTAAGTCTTTAACCGAGACTGCTTCGTTTCGCTGCTGAAACCGCCACTGGCATTGATCCCTCCCACAAACGAACCAACCTCTTGGTTCGAGGATACAGCCTGATAAGTCTCTTCCGCTTCTTCATAGAAGCTTCTCTCTGTTTCTCGCCTTGCTTGCTCGATGCTAGTCTCGCCATCATCTGACCCGCCTGGAAGAATCTTCATCGTCTTCTCAAGCTGAAACCTTTGGTCGATCCGCTTCAGGAAATACCCATACATCACAGAAGCAGCGTATACCTGTCCAACTCCGAGTTTGCTTATCTGAGCTACAGTTGTCAGATCACCAACGCGGTTTTTGAGAATGACGGAAAGATGATTCTGAATCATCTCGTAAACCTCAGGCGAGTGAAGTTGCTCGAGTTCACCGTCTTGAGTCGGCCAAGTATCAACTCGACCAGATGGATCCGTAGATGATGATGAGCTTATCGATGGTACAAGTGAAACATTAGCGTCCATGAACTTCTGAACCACTAATGCATACAAAATCTCTTCCAAAGCCCTTCTTCTCTCATTCTCCTTAACCTCAGCTATTCTCCTAAACACTCAAAAAAACAAAACAATCTGATTCACAATCCAAACCGATATAGCATCTAAAGGGTGATATAATATCGGTAAATGACAAACCTGTAGAGAACAATGTCTGTTCCAGGAACAGAGGATGCATCTTTGGTCTGTTCCTCAGCTTCTCGATCGGTCTGGAGCTGTTCAAGCTGCTGTTCAACAGCTGCTGGCACAAGATGAGGATGGCTCACTAATATCTGTGACAGAAACTGCCCCACAGGAGACTTCAGCTGAAGCGGCGCGATTGAATCCGTCGAGCCAGACGCATCACCAGAAGCTGAAGCTTTCACCACAAAGCTTCTCCGAGACTTAACAGAAGCTGTTCGGCTTAGCAATGGTCTCGAGGATTTAAGAGATGAATTGTGCTGCAAGCAGAAACAGAGGATTCAGATTACTTCTGTGGCATTTATTTCCACAAAGAAATCAAAAAGTTCCATTTTTTTTTACACGGAAAGTTCTTACAGAAATATCAGAAAACTCGATTTAGGACCGGGAACAATCGATTTCAAGTTAAAAAAGTTCAGCTAGATTGAACACAAATAAAGATGATACCGGAAAATTCAAGAGAAAAAGGAGATTTCTTTCAAGAGACTAGGTAAACTGAATCAAAGGCAGTAGATTTAACACATACTCTGAGGCGAAACTGAGGTCCGGAGCCGAATCGCATGAACCCAGGACAGCTTGCCGTTAGGAAAATCGACCCAGAGACGTTTTCGGATGTTCGACGGAGTAAGGCCGGAGACTGAACCAAATTCGCCGTCACAGCGTCCATGATTTTACTCTCTGAGAGAAGCAACGAGAAGAGATAATCGGAGCTTTGGCCAGAGAGAGGAAGAGGGGACCCTGTACAATGTCGACAAAATGGTGATTAAACCGGGTTGTAGATAGATTGGTTTACGACTTATCTCTACGAAATTTACGTATTTTTATTTTAAGGATAAAGAAAATTATTAAACTCATTTTAAAACTTTAGTCTTTAGAAAAATAAAAACGATATTCATAGAAACACTGTGTGATAATTATTTGTGGGTGTGACCTAATTTCAACGTCTGATGGCCACTAATTGTGGATAATTAGAAGGAAAAAAATGAAAAAAAAATTAAATTAATAAAGACATCAAATATTTAAAATTAACGGAATATAAATTTTAGAAAAATCGTTAGAATAGAAGTCTAATCTCATTTTAAATTTATGTTTCAATAATTAAACTATTTTCTTTTGATATAAAATATAAACTGTTTTCCGTAATTTGTTTTTTATAGTGACACAATAGAAGTTGGGCTTTTAATAGCCTTTTTTATTTCTCTTGGCCCAATAATAGGATTTATAGACCACTCCAGAATAACATATATAGCCCAGCATACGACCCATCAAGACAACTAGGGTTTCTCGGTTTTCGCCTCTGCTCTCTAATCAGTGTGTAAGAATATCGTCGTCTCTATCAGATTTCGTGTATATACAAGTTTCAACATTTTTTTAAGATTTCTCCCCCTTAATCTTCATCTTCTGTGATAAGCCACTTTTGAAATAACTGTAAATGTTTTCGCTTTTCTAAAAAAAAATCAGCAATTGAATAAATACGGTGGCGATGATGAAAAAAAGGCCGGACTTACGGCTGCTACCACCACCAGAAAGTGTGGGTGTGTGTAGTAGAATGATGCTAAAGTTTCCAAAGGTTACTAGCTGAGCCTCCACTCTTGTCTCTCTTTCTGCAACTTCACCAATTTATTAAAGTTTCAGTAGTTTTGCCTAAAATTCTTTCTTGAAAAAAAAACTTTCTGTTTCCAAATTAAACAAAAATTGAAAATTTACATCGAAAATCACCGACTTCTTCAACAATAATGACTGGATTGTCTTGCCCAAAATCCCAAATACGGCACAGGAGTTGATATTGGATTGTTTATACAATTAATCAAATAATTTGGATTTAAGTAATAACAAAAAAAAAAAATTTGAGTAAAAAATACAAAGCAAGTAGTAATTTGGAAAATTGAAAAATATAAAATATAAAATGTAAAGAGATATATTTGGTGGGCAGGTTCTGGGTTTAAGACTTTAAGCTGCTGAGAAGAAGGCAAAAACCCCTCCTCCTTCGAAAATGGTATTGCAAGCCAATTCCTTAGGGTTTCTTCCCACAAGACTTCGATTTTCATCTCGATACGCACTCTCACTTCCTCCTGTAAGTGACATTAACCACCAAAATTTCATTTTTTCTCTTTCTCCATTTTGAATTTTCTAAACCTTATCCGAAAATTTTGTCATTTCTCTTGAATTTTCCACTAGGGTTCTTCGTCATTCGCAACGCGTCAAAACACTGATTCGAGGCGTAAGTATCTAATCCTATTGATTCACTCTGGTTTCTAAAGTCCAATTGTAGTAGAAAGAGTGATCCTTTTTTCTTATTATTTTCTCTGTTGATGAAGAAACCCTCGTTTGGAACAAACCGCAAGTACCGATTTACTTGAGCCGAGGCGTTGTAGCATGTTCTTCTTCTCGATCTGAGCCAAGGCCCGAGTCAAATCAATCCGAAAAGAGTAGTAACTACGCTCGAGCTGAGCTGTTCCGTGGGAAATCTGGTTCGATTTCGTTCAACGGCCTAACCCATCAGCTGGTTGAAGAAAGTAAACTGGCTTCAGCTCCGTTCCAAGAGGAGAAAGGTTCCTTCTTGTGGATTTTGGCTCCTGTTGTGTTGATGGCGTCATTGATTCTTCCACAGTTCTTTCTAAGTGGTGCCATTGAAGCCACGTTTAAAAACGACACTGTTGCAGGTAAAGAATCGTATTCCACCTACTGCTTTAGATTTTATCAGTCACCTTCGAGTGTTAACATCGGAACTATGACTTTTTTTATGAATCCTAGGGACAAGTAGAGAGTAGAAGCTATCTTGATGGTTATGTTAAAAGTGTTGGCTTTCTCTTTAAATGTATCTGACTTTGAGGTTTTGTTAGGTTCAGAACCTGAATTTCTGACTGATCTTGAATTGTTGTCGATTACAATCAAGAACACATGACCCACCTTTAAGAAAGAACTAAAAGTTTCCTTCAGTTATATGATAACTCACTTTGATGCACTCTCTTATCAGAGTTGTAACTTATACTCTCTTTTGATGCAGAAATTATTACTTCTTTCTGCTTTGAGACGGCGTTTTATGCGGGTCTTGCGATATTCCTGTCTGTGACAGACCGAGTACAGAGACCGTACTTAGACTTCAGCACCAAGAGATGGGGTCTAATCACTGGACTGAGAGGATACCTCACGTCTGCATTTCTCATGATGGGTTTAAAAGTTGTAGTTCCGGTGTTCGCTGTGTACATGACTTGGCCAGTTCTCGGACTAGATGCGCTGGTCGCAGTGCTTCCTTTCTTGGTTGGCTGTGCGGTTCAGCGAGGTTTCGAAGCTCAGCTCGAAAGACGTGGCTCATCATGTTGGCCCATTGTTCCAATAGTCTTTGAGGTATAAAAACTTATACGCTGATCTTGTGACCAACTTCTTGTTTTAGCGCAAAGCATTGGGACCATGATGTTTGTATGTACATGGGGCAGGTGTATAGGTTGTATCAGGTGACAAGAGCAGCCACTTTTGTGCAGAGGCTGATGTTTATGATGAAAGATGCGTCAACGACAGTAGAGATCACAGAGCGAGGTGTTGCGCTCGTTGGTTTGGTTGTGACTCTGCAGTTTCTAGCAGTTATATGTCTCTGGTCGCTTATCACATTTCTTTTGCGCCTCTTTCCTTCTAGACCTGTTTCTGAAAACTACTAAATTTCTCTGAGTGTTTTAGTGTTATGTTAACATCCATGTGTAAGCCAAAACCCCATAAGCTTTGTGTGTTCAGTTCAGGATTAATGTGTTTTATTGAGTGTAGGAACATTTTTGAGACTTGGTTTTTGATCAGGATGAATGAAATGTGGGATCTTTTGTGGGAGACAAATGTTGAAACTTAAAACTTTGTCCACGTGGAAAGTCTGAATCTCTGATACGTGTCTTTTACAGTGACGCGAGCTTCAACACGTGTGATCTTCTCCTTTCCTTCTGTTCTGTGTATTTCTTCTCTTTATTGATGCATCTGTTTATGCAGTTGAATGATTTTCGAATCTTGTTCTGTCTTTTGTTTCCTATTAATTTTGTAAACAAATTTTTTTTTATATATCAGTATGTGATGTTATTATTAATACTAAAAATATATTAAATTTGTAACTGATCAACGATTAATGTTCGGAGAGCAGTAAATTAGGATCTAAGAAGAATTAGCCACTAATATAAAAAAAAACACAAGCAAAGTGAGAGAGTGGGTGAAATCTCAGACTGGTTTAATCACTCGTCTTCTTCCTCTCTAAGGACGCAGAAAGCAATCATGTCTCTGCTCTCAGAGCTCCTCAACCTCGACCTCTCAGACACCAAGAAAATCATCGCTGAATACATATGGTTCGATCATTTTTTTTCACCCTGATTTCACTATTAGTCTCTTAAAGTTTGTCCTTTTTTTGGCTTAATCTCTTAAACATCGTTGCATGTCTCTGTTTTACAAGATAATTGTTTTTCTCATTTTATACTCTGTTTTCGTAAGAACAGGATCGGTGGGTCTGGGATGGACATTAGAAGCAAAGGCAGAGTAATTATATTTACACAATATCCTAATTATTCTTTTATGTATAACCAAAAATGATTAATTAATAGGTGTATGTTGTTAACAGACATTACCAGGACCAGTAAGTGATCCATCGAAGCTGCCAAAATGGAACTACGATGGATCCAGCACCAATCAAGCCGCTGGAGATGACAGTGAAGTCATTCTTTAGTAATCTCCTTCATCACCTATTTACACATCATTTACGTTAAATAAATTCCAAATTATTCTAAATTTTTTTTTTTTTTTTGGAATGAATGAAAAAACAAGTCCTCAGGCGATATTCAAAGACCCGTTCAGGAAAGGGAACAACATTCTGGTAAACTCATCTGAATATTTAAGCAAAAAAAAGATTATTCATCTAATGTTTTCAATTATGTGGATCTTTTAAATTCCAAATTTCTTGAAATATTTCTTGAACCAGGTGATGTGTGATGCATACACACCGAAAGGAGATCCAATCCCGACCAACAATAGGCACAAGGCCGTTAAAATCTTCGATCATCCCGATGTGAAGAAGGAGGAGCCTTGGTAAGCCTATGGACCAATCCGGCCACTTTGGTTTTCGGTTTGGGGCCGGTTTGGTCCAAGACAGTACCCTATTTCGATTAATTAAAAAAATATGTTTTCTTGAAATTTAAATTGATTTAGTTCGGTATGACTAAAATTTTGGTTAACTTTAACTTTAGGTTCGGTGTGAAACATTCGGTTTAGGGATAGATTTCAGTTTGGTTGATTCGGTTTAGATTCGGTTTGATATTTTCGTGTGTTAAAATTTATTAGGTTTGGGATAGAGCAAGAATACACATTACTTAAGAAAGACGTCAAGTGGCCATTAGGTTGGCCTCTTGGTGGCTTTCCTGGTCCTCAGGTACGTACACACTCACGAGTACATTCTCCATACTACAAATCTTAATATCAAGATTTGATACCGAATATTTCCCTTTGTGTTTTGTATGAAAACAGGGACCGTACTATTGTGCCGTAGGTGCAGACAAAGCCTTTGGTCGTGACATTGTGGATGCTCACTATAAAGCTTGTCTTTACGCTGGTTTAAACATCGGTGGTGCTAATGGTGAAGTCATGCCTGGTCAATGGGAGTTTCAAATCAGTCCTAGTGTCGGTATTGGCCCAGGTGATCAATTATGGGTCGCTCGTTACATCCTCGAGGTTACAATAAACCCATAATAAACTAATCATTGTTGCTTCTTGCACACTTTAAAAACATTATGAATCATTTTGTGTGTTTTGACAGAGGATCACTGAGATCTGCGGTGTGATTGTCTCATTCGACCCCAAACCAATCGAGGTGATCTCTTATGATCATCATCAAGAATCTCTTTTTTTTTTTTGAGTTTTCTTGATCGTTTTCTTGAATCGCGGTTTGTGTTTTCTATTGCGGTTTGATTTAGGGTGATTGGAACGGAGCAGCTGCTCATACAAACTTCAGTACAAACTCAATGAGGAAAGAAGGAGGATTGGATTTGATCAAGAAAGCTATAGGGAAGCTTGAAGTGAAACATAGACAGCACATTGCTGCTTATGGTGAAGGCAACGAGAGGCGTCTCACCGGGAAGCATGAAACCGCAGACATCAACGTATTCTCATGGGTATGAAGATTGAAATCGAAATCATATCAATGTTTTTTTTGGTTTTTGTATAAGCTTCTTGATTTTGGTTTGGTTTGTTGAGAGTGTAGGGAGTGGCGGATCGTGGAGCATCGGTGAGAGTGGGAAGAGATACGGAGAAAGAAGGGAAAGGGTATTTTGAAGATCGAAGGCCTTCGTCTAATATGGATCCTTATCTTGTTACCTCCATGATCGCTGAAACCACCATCCTTGGCTAAGCCTTCTTCTCTTTTGTTTCTTCGTGTTTCGGTTTAATGTCGGTTTGGGACTTTTATTTGCCAATAAATTCATGGGATGTGACTATGATCCTAATGTTTGATTTTTTCCGGTTTTGGTTCGATTTTGAAGTCTTGATGTTTGGGTTTCTCGTAGTCACTTTGGCTTTGGTTTTCACGTCGATTCAGACGACGGCTTCAACTATTCTCCCAACCGGCGAGAAAAGAAAAATTCAAACGTGTCGTCGGTAATAGTTTTTCTTTGTTCAAAAAAAATAGTTCACTCCCAGCATGTCTTGGTCAGGTAGTTCTACTTTGGTCTAATCTACAATTTGTATATGGGTCTGCCATTTTTAGCCCATGTTCCAACTTCCAACTATGTTGGCTTAGAAAACAGAATGATAGCTTGAGAAACAAGGAAAAACATTAAGAACTCTTATTTGCGTTTTCTTTTTGAACCAAGAACCCTTATTTGTTTCAAGCATAATTATACCGTACTTTTATCGTATGCTAGTATTTTCTAAAATACTCATGACATATAAGAATCGAAGCTACTTACATCACTATGGGTGCGAGTGCGCCCATTATTTTTTAAATTTTGATAAAATTTAAGCCAAAATATATCAGTGCACCTATTGATTTTTCTATTTTATGTTTATTATATTTGTATTTGCTAAAAAGTGCCCCCATTAATAATATACTCTAGATTTGCCCCTGTTAGTGATGATGGTGTAAAAGCAAAAAAATCAAACATGTAACATGTTTACATATATCTAACTAGGTAAAAATAATACTCAATATGAAATGCATATAAATCGATCCTGTTTTGGATCATAGTTTATTATCGAGATCTTAATCTATAAACATAAAAGATATCAATAGTTATTATTATCAAGACTAATTTTGAAAAAAGAAATTCTCAATTTATTATTTTGATCTTTTGAAAGTCACAAAATTTTATGAATGAAATTATAAAATCAGCATGGCCACAACGAAAATAAAAAAAAATTATTCATATATTTTGCTTTTTTATTCTTTATATTTTTACTCATATTTTGCTATTTTTTTACTTAGATTTTGTGAAAATGACGTGCCATGGATTAACTCGAAACAGAGTTTTTAATGAGCTGTTTTGTTGCGTCCTTCTTTCAAGATACTAAAGAGACATTTATCTGTAAGTTGTTGTCTTTACTTTATTACTTAACAGTTTTGCCACGTACAGTTTTACTTAACAGTTTTGCCATTTTCCCGAACCAACAGTTCCAAAATCAAAGTCTTTTAAGTCATATATGGGTTTAAGGCCAAAATTTAAAAAAAAAAAAATTGAAAGTTGCGGCCAAATATGGAATGCAATTGAGTGCTAGATGGAATTCCACCGCACATTACAACCTCATATCTAGTGTTTAGAATGCAATGACAACACAGTTACTCTGTTTTGTTAGTATCTCTTCTAATACATTGTCTAGTGTTTGCTTTGCATTCGATGTTAACTCCTCTAAAATCCATGTGATCTGAGGTTAGATTAATATTTGGTTTGATGTATTAATTACCTCAAAATTAGAGTTTCATTTATATTTTTTACAAAAGAGTTTTTCAAGGACGTGGAGAACTAGTTGTTTGTTTCTATATTATGTATCAGTTTGTGGATTCAATTTCAGTTATACCTGTATTTGGATATATAATACTACCAAAGTATATATCCAAAACCAAAATAACCACACCATTTTTATTTGTTGTCCTCAAATCTTTTCTCTCTAAAAGAGTGATCCTTGAGATCGAAACTTTATGTTTATAAACGAAAAAAACTTAGTTTGTCTCGTGATTTGTTTGGATTTGGGCTCGTAGTTTAGTTAAGTTGCGTATGATTAATTAATTGGATATAAAAGGAGACCACAAAGAAATGGTGATTATCATGTTCTAAAACAAAATAGTTGTTGTTCATTGGGAGCATCGTAAGTTTTCCTCCAAATGTTTCGGAGCTACATGATCCACAAGTCCACAACCATTATATAAGCTTTAGAGTATCATCGCTAATCAAATCAAATACAATACGAGGCTCTTACCTTACCTTAAGAAAAATACAGTGATGGGCTTGCTCGAAACAACATCTCCGGTCTCAACACATTCCATATAATATAAGGCTTAACATGCATGTGAATCCCATCAATATTAAATCTGATGATTTAAGGACTGTCTCGTGATTTAACGCCTTTAAAATGTCTTTTTCAGTTGTTGCTTACATGCTAACGCTTAAAACCATAGTTATTAAGTCATATTTTAATCATTTTGTAT